GTCTATCACCAACATAGGCCAATCAGCTAACCAGTATTTTCGCCCCTTCCCAAAATTACTTCAACGGAAGGTTTCCAGATGGAAATGCGGAGCAAATCCATCTGGTGGAGTCAGGTTAGAACCACTAGGCCACCACTCCTGAGGAGCTAAAGAAATAAGCAGCTGGAAGAATCTAAATGACTTTGATCTTAATTTGAGCACGTTAATAAGATGATCTGTCAATGGGAAGAGCATTTCTCCCGTAAACTAAAGCCTCATTTTCACTACTCTCTGAAAACCGATCCGTGCCGAGCTTCATTCCTTACGACTATTTACAAACAGCGCTAGCACGGTTAATCGCCTCCTTGTGACGATCTACGGTACTTCTGCTCTCTAGAGCGAAACAAGCAAGCCAACATGGCAGCGGCCATAACATTCAGGAAGTTTGCAGAGAGTCAGGCGAAGAAGCTTTGGTTAAATTTACTTGACAGAATCGGCTTTTGGGAAGTGGAAACAACAAACAATAGTCTAATCAGGGCTTACAGACGCAGGAAACAACGACAGGAGTTGAGATAAATCACTGCTAAGCAGAATCATCACCGGAAATCATGCGGCACGGTAGGGAAGCTAGTATTTTTATGAATCTCTGAAGTTTGATGATTACGGAGGCTGACTGTAAGGAGATGACGCATTCTGCTGATGTGCTCTTTTCTATCTAAGAACCAAGCCAGAACTGAACTGCGCCGAACCCTCCTGATGAACCAGTACCATGTTAGCGTGGTTCGGTTGCATCTGGTGCGGTCCGGTTCAGTTGTGCGTGCCGTTTATACTCAACAGCTATCTCTGTTTCCGTGTTTGGACCGATCTCAGCACAGTTTCTAAAGGGTAGTGGAAATGGGGCTTAAGATAATAGGATATTATTTACCTAAAATAAGTTGCTCTTTCAGTCCTAAAGGTTAAAATTGTGACACTTGTTTAAAGATGTGTCCTATTTGCAGTTTACCTGAGCAGAATGTAGACTTTTTGAGCTTAACCCACAGAGAAGCATGTCGGTGGCTACATCATGCAGTAGGGGATATCTTTCTTCCACAAAGCTGGACAGGGAGGATGAGAGAATCTAGACTAGAGTTATCTGATACCGATAACCGGGCTGAGCGTATCGGCTGAAAGCCGATGCTACAATACGGGATCATGGCTGAAACCTTTAACCTCACGTGTAACTGAAGGCCTCAGGCTTCCTTTAAAACAAGGCAATTTACACAGTTATAAATGTGTTTAATATAATTTATTTTAAAAATAGCCGGATAGCAGAAGGCTCCTCAGAGAAGAAATTATACAGTTTATGTCAGGTCTAACAACTAAAACACAGTAAAACAAGGAAAGAAAGGCACAGAGTCAGAATTCTATTTACTTGCGAGGAGAGTAGGAAGAGACCGTGCAGGTACATCTCCACCCCACTGGTCTTCAGCTTTCTCATCGCTATTTATTAAAGTCAGAGGGGGAGTCCCTAGTTACACTAGCTGAGGTTGCGCTAAAGGAATAGGAAACAAGAAATACAATTCAATTTGCAGCCTCAGTGAACAGGTCAATTTGCATTTAAATGTCTTGTGGTCAAATGGTCCAAGAACCTCCTGGTTTCGTTAAGCTTGAGCAATACTTCCTGATAGTTGACCTATACTGCTTGTGCAACACCTGTCTGGAACAGTAATATGTCACACATTATACATCATAAGAACAAACATTAAGTATCTTATACATAATTATTCCAACAGTTTAAATTAGGTAAAGCTGATAAAAGTTATCTTCAGACCGAACAGATAACACCAAATTCTTTTTTCTGTCTTCTAACGCTTTTGTCCGACTTCTTAGAAATAGACAAACTTTATTTTCATTTTGTATACGCAGAGTGTATGTAACATTTTGTTACATACAGCTTTTCGACAATGAATGAGCAGCAGCTTAGCAGTGAAGATTATATATATATATAAGATTATAGATATTTATAAAGTGCAGCAACGATCCAAATGTAAACATGGTGCAAAAGGCATTGATGGGGAAGGTTCAGAGCAGTGCAAAAAAAAAATTAAATATATATGGGGTAAAATGCAGTTGAAAAACACTGAGTTGACATGAAAAGCAACTGAGTTGAACACAGTTTTCAACAGTCTGATAGTAGCGGGGGAAAAGCTGTTGCAGAATCTGCTTCAAAGCCTCTTCCCAGAGGGGAGCAGGGAGAACAGTCCATGGTGGGGGGGTGAGGGGTCATTGATGATGTTATGGACTCGGAACACGCAGCGCTGGGATGAAATGTCTTTAGTGCAGGGAAGAGGAGCCCCCATGATCCTCTCTGCTGTTCTCACCTTCTTCCAGTCTGAGGCGCTGCAGCCTCCACACCACACAGTGAAACAGCTAATTTCCATTTTCATTTTCCTTTCTCAGATTTGAGGCAAGACATGTTGACCCTCCAAATTCTGAGGCTGATGGATCTTCTGTGGAAGGAGGCCAGTCTGGACCTCAGGTGAGGCTTTCTCTCTCTAAATGTTCTCTGCCTGTGAAGTGAAAGCTCTGCTGCCACGAAGAGTGTGAAAAATGTATTTTTGAAAAAATAAAATCTATTTTAAAAAACAAATCTGAAAAGAAAGCAATATTAATTTCAAATCTAGTTTTTAAAGTTTCATTTCTGATTGCTTTTTTTTTCAAATTGAGATTTACAGAATATGTTCTTTGCAACAATATCATAAATGTTTCAAACATTTTAAACTAAGTTTTAC